GGCGGAGGCTCCGGGGCAGCGCTGAGCATCAGCACCGGGGACAGCGCGCCGCGCTGCATTGTGGGAAACTCCTGCGGCCGCCGCTGCAGCTACCGCATCGCCCCCCGCGGGGCCGGTCCCCACCCTTTCTCCGCCCCCGCACCTCCGGCAGCCGACTCCGCCTGCCCCCTATGGGTCTGGAGAACCCCTCAGGACTTTCCCTTTCTGTCCTCCAAATCAGCCCCAGCCCTGGGGAGAGTTCAACCGGCCTCTCCCTTCTTCCCACTCCCCTTACCTCCCACCCTCCTGCCTGCTGTGCTCCCCCCTGCCCAAAGCTCCCAAAGCTTTCTGGAAGGAAAAGACAAGTCTGGGGGAAAGAGCCGGGAGATAGCAACCTCGTGGAAAGCAGGTTTTCAGATCCCTAGGCATTTCACATATTTAGATAGGAACACGGGTTATGGGCTCGGGCTGCCCAGATTCAATTCCCTGCTTTTATTTCTCACTAGTGGTAGTACTTGGGCAAATCACCCAAATTACCTGGAACTCTCTATCCTCATCAGTACCGTAGGACAATGATAGCAACTTGGAAACTCATTTGTTTATCTATGCAACAAACAAATATTCACTGATATCTCTTCTGTGCCCAGCTCTGGTCTGGGTGATGCTGAGAAAGAGCAGGGACTGGGACAGCCTCAGCCCCTACCCTTACTGAACCCCTAGTCCAGCGGGGAGACAGACCAGTGACCAGACAGTGACAGCTCTGATGGGCTAGCCTGGGAAGCTCTGGCAAAGTGGCCAGGGTGGGACGGGAAAGGCATAGGGGGTCGAACCCTGGGTGGGGGGGGCACAACGGGCTGTGAAGGTCCAGAGGAGGTGCCTGCCCTAGACTGAGGTGGTGAGTGAAGGCTTCTTGGAGGAGGGGATAACTCAATGAACAAAAGAGATCTGCTTCTTGCCCTCCTCGAGCTCACTGACTGGGTAGGAAAAGCAGTGGGAACGCAGACAAGCGACAGCCCAGAGTGAGCAGCACAATAATGCAAGAGTGTACAGAAAAGAAAGCACGTGAGAGGCTTTTAAGAGAAAAACAGGGTGAATGAGACAGTTGATCTTCAACTCTCCTTAGCTGCTTACTTGGTGGTGGGACCTTGGCTTCCTCCTTGCCTTCCTTCTGTGTAACCCGGGGATAACAAGTGAGTTTACTTCAGAGTAGTTGTAGGGACCGAATCATGTTATGCAGATAAAGCAGTTAGCACAGGGCGTGGAACAGGATGGACAATGAACAACCCGTTTCTTATCACCAATGAGACTGTGGGGTATGTGATCCTAAGTGCCTGGCTGAGTCAGCATCCATGTATAGTTGTTGAAGGAATGAGTGCGTGAATAACTTTATGTATTACCACCCTCCCCTGCACCCTGCAAGACCCTGGCTTGGGCCTCAGCCCCAAGCACCAAGCTTAGATTTCCACTCTCCCCTCCCCCTGCACTGCACATTCTCTTCTTGGAGGCCACATGGCAGGTCACACCTGACAGGTCCAAACCTGAACACAGCACCTTCCATCCCAATGGCCATATTTGCTTCTATCTCTTATCGAGCTTTGCCGAGTGGGTCTCTCCCCCTCTCTGGTCCTCCAACCTTGAACATCTCCAGGGCAAAAACTTCCTCCTCTCTTGCACCTTCAAACCTAAGCTTGGTTAAGAGTCTAATATATTCCTGAGGTTGGATTCCTGAGATCACCTCAGGCGTGTTTTTAATTTAAAAAGTGTGGAGATCCATTGATTTATAACAAATATTTTCTGAGCACTTACTAAATAGCTAGGTGCTGAGGGTTCGGCAGAAACGGGGGACAAGTGTACCTAGCTCGCAGTCCTGCTAGGATGCAGTGCTAGTAATTCCATAACACCTACTAGGTGTCAGGCACTGTCCTAAAGCTCTACATCTATATTATATTAACTCACACCCTCATCACACCTCTATGAGACCGGTGCTACAATTTATACCCATTCACACCGTGGCACTCTAGGGGTTAAGTACATCAGATCTCATTTATAGAACACTTGCTATCAAAGACCCATACTATCACAAACTGATGACTCCCACAGGCCAGCATGTGATGTGCTGGGCTTGTGCAACCATTAAAAAATACTGAATTAGTTGCTAACATATGGAAGTAGAGATACTTATGGAATTGTAGATTTTCAGCTTCACTTGAACAAAATCTGAAAATCTGGCCACATCGAAGTAGCATTCCTTATGAGTGGGGCAGCTTCCCACAGTCCCCATCCCTCCTAGTTTCTTCCCAGCCCTGAGGCCGAGAGCCACTCGGGTTGCCGCATCTCTGTCCATTTGTCTCCAGCAGACGTTTGCGCTGGGGAGCCTAGTTTTAGCTCGCCGAGCCGCGCTTGCGGCAGTCCGCCAGTGCCGCCTGGCGGAGGGGTCCAGAATTTGCATCGTGTCTCCCAGCCGCCATTAAGGGACTCGGTAAAGAGCATCCAATCAGAAAGATGAGAAGCCTGGGGAGTAACCAATCAAAAGCGAGAGAGGAGTCGGAATTCGCCCAATGAGGACGGAGAGCGCTCAGAATTAAAAAAAAAACAACCTCTTTTATTGAAGTGGGAGACGGATACACACGGACGGTCTTTTTTGATGGGATCTCGGGCTTAGGGAGGCCCGGGCTGGGGGCGGCAGAGCAGGCGGGCGGCGGCGAGGCTGGTGCCCTGGCGCTGGGGTCGCGCGTACTTGAGGAAGATAGCGGCGCGGCCGGGCGCGGGGCCTCGGAGCGCAGCGCGGGCCATGCATGGCTCGAGCGGGCGCAACTCTGCGGGGCTAAGGCGGGGAGACGGAGAAACTGAGGCAGGGGCACCGGTGAAGACGACCTGTTCTCGGAGCGGGGGGGCTCGAGGCTGAGAAGACACGTTGCCTGGGGTCCCCGAGGACCGTTCAGGGGCTCTCTCGAGCCAGTGGAGAGCCGGAACCTCGGGGAGGGACGGAGCGGGGCTGAGGATGGACAGACATCCAGCTCTACCCTGGGGGAGGCGGGGCGGGGGGGGGGGCACGGGCTGGGAGAAAAGAGGACTCACCCTGGCCGCCAGTGACCTGGTTAACAAAGGGGGGGCGCCCCTCTGGCAGCTGAAGGGACACCCCATTTGCGGCCACAAGGGGACCTGGGGGACCCGAGGTTGGCAGATCTCTCATTCTCAACCCTGGAACGCAGTTCGGATCTCCCGAGGCCCGGAAGATACGCTATCTTCCACCCAGGGGCAAGGTTAAGGGTCCCCAAATCTGGACAAACACCTCATTCTCTGACACCCCCAGACTAGGCAGACACACCATTTCCTCTCACACCCAGAAAAATCAAGTCTGGGTGCCCCCCTCCATTGTCTCTCATTCTCTGAGAGGGGAAAGACAGTGACCAGGAAAGTAGGTTCCTGTAGCCACAGAGGCGCTCCCCTGGAGCCGTACCTGTAAAGCGAGGGCTCGAGGCCGGAGCCCGCCCCGTCGAGCAAGCGGTGCGCCAGGCTCAGCGCCGCAGCTGCGCGCCGACCGGGCTCCCATCCTGCGGCCTCGGCCTCCAGCAGAGACAGCTCCAAAAAGTAGGTGGCAAGTAGCACCACCTGCCAAGGCCCACCGGGAGATCAAGCCACGCCCCTATCCCGGTACAGGCCACGCCCCTACCCGCGGGAGATTTGCCCTTCTGCCCCCTTCCCCCTCTGCACCTGGGGGCTGCTCCCGGCCAGCGCGGCCAGTAGCCCGAGGCAAAGTAGCGGGCCCGGGTGATGCAGCCGGAAATCCAAGCGGCTCAGGATGCGGCGCTCGGCGCGCAGAAGCTCGGCCCGCGAGAAGGAGCCAGCGCCCAGGAGGCAGAGGGAGGCCGACTGCGGATGGCGGGGAAAGAGGTGGGAGAGTCTTGGACCCCGGCTGGTTGCTCCCTGCCCTGTAGCGCCTGGGATCGGTTCAGTCTCCGTTCTGAACCTCGATTTCCTGGTCTGTAAGATGGGTCTATTGATTTGTTCTCTGGAAGCCATGGAGAGCACAGGCTTCAGAATCAGAAAGACCTGGGTTCGACTTCAAACCCTACCATTTTCACACTGTGTGACATGGACATCACTGAAACTCTGAGACGTAGTTTTCTCGTCTATAAAACGGAAGTATTTCTCCGTACGTCACCTGGCAGCTCTGATAAGGCACGGAGTTCTGATCAGGCACTCACTATAACTGTTCAAAACTGAGTCCAAGTCCCACCTGTTTTGGGCAAAGGTATTCCTCTCTCCGGGCCTCAGTCTCCTCCTCTGCTAAAGGGACACATTGTATCAGGCCTCATACAGATATGCTGGGATTCCAAGAATAGGTAAAGCGCTAGCTCGGCACACAGGAGGTGTTCCCATCTGTGACGCAACGAGCGAGGGTTCCACCTTCCCAAGCCCCACTCCAGAAAGTACCTCGGGAAGCACGCACTCTTCCATTTTGCAGGCCACGAACAGGCAGGCCACGCCCAGCAGCTGCAGGCGGTGTAGGCGCACTCGGCCGGCACGCAGGTAGGAATCCAGCAGGTGCACCGCCAGGTAGAGCGTGTCCCCCGCCAGGCCCAGGTACTCCTGGGGAGGGGCGTGAGTGACCACCAGGGTTCTAGGCTGCGACGCGGGCTCAGCCCTGCCCCCTGCCGGATACGTACGTGCACCTGGATCAGCCAGTCCACCACTAGCGCGCGCATCTCTGGCGTCACGGTCGGGGGCAGGGCCCTCCGGGGCAGCGCGCGGCACACCTGCGGTTGGGCAGGGACGCCCTCACTCTCTCCACCTGTGCCTCGGCTTCTCGCCTGAGCTCCAGCCCCCAGTGCAGCAGCCTCCTTGCACTAACTGGCCGAAGCGTGAGCGCCTCACTGAAATTGGCCTCCAACGTCTTCTTCCAAATGTGTTTCTATTCCTTATCCCCCATTAGAGCCTTGGACTTTGTTCTGGACGCCTCCCTAATCCACCTCTCCAATCTGTAGCCCCCATGGCCACGGCTCCTCCTGAGCATCTCCCCCTGGGTCTCCAGACCACTAGCCGTCACCAAGCCTCAGCCCATCCTCCTCAGAGCACCCAGAAGGGTCTTTCGAAATAACAAAACTGGCCAAGGAACTCCCCAGCTTAAAACCCTTCCACGGCTTCCAGTACCCTCAGGAGAAAACCCTAATTGCTCTCTCAGGCGCTGCCCCCTGCGCCAACACCACCTCTTCCCTCTCCCTTCACAACCCATACTCCAGCTACACCAGCCTTCTCTAGCCCTAGACTAGGACAGGCTTGTTCCTACCCCAGGGCCTTTGCACTTATGCCCAGTTCCCTCCACCTGGAATGGTCCTTCCCCAGCTCCTTGCACTGTTGAAACAGCTCAAATTCCCTGGACTTTTCCTATACAGAATTCTCCCTGCACCCATCCCGCTTTGTGTCAGCACTTTATGGTCCTCTTAGCATTTTCAGTCTGGAGATGTCTGGTGTTCCCTTGTGTGTTGTTTGCCTCCCTAGGCTGCTGGTACCACAAGGGCAGGTATTTCTCTCTGGATCACAGCTGTCTCTCAGTTCCTAACAGAGTCCCTGGCTGGGGAGAGACACTCCCCACCTCACTTTCTGAACAACTTCATGCCTGCAGTTATTTCTTCGGACAGTGCCTGGCCTGCAAAGGTATCTGCAGATGACCCGCGTCTGCACTGCAGTCTCCCTTCTGCTGTTACCGCCTACGTTTGCTTGGTTGTCCACAATGAGCGCAGACTATGTTGTTCATCACAGCACCCCCAGGGCCTAGAACATGCTCAAAAACATGTTCATAAATTGCTAAGTGTTTGTGAACGAATACATGCGAGGGACAAGTAGGAGGGGCTGCAGGGAGGTGGGAGTTTGGGAAGCCTTGTGGGGTGGGTGTTGGGCCAGCCGCCAGCTTTCACCTCGTCTAACCCGAACCCCTCTGCTGCCCTCCGGGGCGCGCTCACCATGACTTCGGCGAAGATGTCCCCAGCGTACTCGCGTTCTCCCTCCAGCCCCAGCGCGCTCAGCGCCTCCGCCAGTCCCGGCGGCGCGCACGGCCCAGGGGGCCTCTCCTGGCTGCCCTCGGGGATGCTGTCGGGGTGTGGGGCGCTGGGAGGGTTGGGGGAGGCGGCGGCGGGACTCTGCAAGGGAGAGGGGTGGGGGTCAGCGCCTGGAGAGGGGCCCGGGCCAGGAGGCGAGACCCTGGCTGCTGCATCTCACCAGCATCCTCCACGCTGGCATCCGGGGACCAAGCTGAGCGCCCCTCTTCCTGCTGGAGCGAAAGACCCGCCTCGGCGCTTTAAAACTGTGCATGCGCGCTGAACACGCCTCACCTAGGCAGGTGCAGAGGTGATGGCGAATACTATGCAGATTGGCTCTGGCCCCTCCAAAGCTAAGGTCAGACAGCTGGAGTCAAATCCTCTTCCTGCTACTTACTATAGGATCAGAAACAGCCCCTCCGAGGCTCCCTTTCCTCAGCTGTAAAGTAAGGATTTTTTCAAAACTACTAAGACAAGTGGCCAGCGATGGGTCTGGACTAGCGCAGCGAACTCCTCACTGCTCCCTGGTTTCCATACCCCACAGTCTGCCCCCCCACCGCCCCCATGCAGCCAGAGGGATCCTGTGCACACCCAAGTCAGATCACACTCTGCCTCCATTCAGAACTCCATCGTGGCTCCCATCTCTCTCAAAGTCCACGAGGTCCTTTTTGATCCTCCCACCCATCCCCACACACCTTTGAGTTCATCTCCTAACCCTCCCCCCAACTCGTGTCTCTCCTACCACCAGTCTCCTGGCTCATTCTCACCCACACCAGGCACGCTCCTACCTCAGGGCCTTTGCACTGGCTGTTTCCGTTGCCTGAAATGCTCCTCCCTCAGAGATCCCTCATTTAAGGTATCTACTCAGATGATACCTTCCCTGTGAAAAAGGCTATCCTGAGAATTTCCTATCACCATTCTTTGTAACTTACTCTCTCCTTAGCACTTACTGCCTGATCTTATTTACTGCCTCCCTCCCGATGAGAATGTGAACTCCAGAAAGGCAAGGCTTCTCTGGTGTTTTGTTTTAATTGCTGTATTCCCAGTGCCTAGAACGGAGTTTGGCACGTGGCAGGTACTCAGATATTTGTTGGATGAGTAAGTGAACAGGCTGCACATAACTTAGAAATGGTGACCTGGAGGGCCTCTCTGAGGAAGTGATGTTGGAGTGAAACCTGAAAGGCAAGGAGCCAGGAATGCAAAGGGAGGGGAGAATATTCCAAGTGGTGGAAATAGCATGAGCAAAAGCACCGAGGTAGGAAAGGGGTTGCTATTTTCAGGCACTGGGAGGTCAGCAAGGCTGGAAAAGTGAGCAGAGGAATGTGAGATGCTGAACCAATGACTTCCCGTCACACAGTAACACCCAAACTCCTTACCTTGGCCACATGGTCCCTTCGGCCCATTGTTACCTCTCTAATCCCATTTCCTTCTGTTCTCCCACTCCCTCGTTCTATTTGACACACCCTCTTTATGTTCCCCAAACACATCCAGCACCTGCTGGCCTCAGGGCCTTTGTGCTTGCCCTTCCCTTTCCCTGAACACTTGATCAAAACCTAGATATCTACATTTTCAGAGTATCTCTACACAAGATACTAACTACAAAGGGAAAGTAGGAACTTTCCAGTGGAGACACCTGACAAGACACCACCTTAAGCAAGGGATCAAAGTCATCACCAGTCATGGGACAGAATCTCCTCTCCCTCTTTGAGAGGATGCAGGGAGAAGGGCACATTTCTCAAATTTCCTGTTAAAGGTAGCTTGACTATAACCGTGAGGAAACACCAGGCCACAAGCCGTAACTGAGGGACATTCTGTGACATAACTGCCCTGTATCAAACCTGACAACCGAATGCAACAGGAGTCATCAGCCAGGGGACTGTTCTTCTGTGTACAAGGACAGGAGTGGGACCATTAGTCAAATTTGATAGAGACCTGAGAGAAGAGGGTTGTTTTCAGTATTCAGTTCCCGACCTGGTTAATTGAACTGTGGTTGTGCAAGAGAATGTTCTCGCTTCAGGGCGGATATGTAAACACGGAGGGGGAGGAGGGAGTGAGCAGAAAATGGTCACAGGAACCTGTGTGAAGGGTCAATGAGAATGCTTTGTACTTACTTTAAAATCAAATTTTAAAGTAGGGTTTATGGGAAGCTGCAAAGAGAGAACAGAGTTCCCGGGCACCCCACACCTACTTTCCCCTACCAACCTCCTAGTGTAGTGCATTTGTCACAACCATGGACCAACTGGGATACCACCCTCATCGCCTATGAAGGGCACTTCCTGCCAACAGGAGTTACATGGTTGATGTTGACCTTGATCACAGGCTGACGTAACGTTTATCAGGTTTTTTCATGGAAAAGTTGCTTCCCCCCTTTCTATACTGTCGTCTTTGGAATGAAGTCACTTTGCAGCCCACACGCAAGGAATGAGGGAGATGCTCCCCCACCTTGGGGGCGCAGCATCTACAGAAATTACCTGGAAGTCCGTTCAGTTATGTCTGTTCCAGCCATTTATCATTTATCTGCTCGCGAACTCACTGATCGTGAACTTTGGGTAGAAGCCGGCGCTATGCTATTTCTTTTGCTGCTCCAAGTACTCTCAGCCCAGCGGGGTACTTTCCACGGGCCCCCAGGTCCCTTCACATACCCCCCATCAGGGAGGATCTGCTTAGCCCGCTTTTGAGCGGGTCCTTCCTTCGGGGCACTACAAGGTGCTCCAGGCCTAGAACTGTGTTTAGTACTATTCTTTGGAAGTTTTCTTCTCCAAGCCTGCACCTGCAATTATTTAAAAGATAAAAGTAAAAATCTGTGAATCAGCACACTCTGGAAAGCTATCGGACACGTATTAAATTCCAGCCACCCTAGAATGTAGGCCACAGCTGGGAGGCAAGCCACGCAAAAACCAAACCAAACCAAACCGAAGGGAAAGAACCTTTATCTGGTGCCCTGTGCATCTGCAGAGAAGAAACGAGCGAGCACCAGGATGAGCACTCAGGAGCTGGGATCCAGGCTCATTTTCATTTTACTTGCTTCCTCAGACTTTGGTGTTGCTCACGTTCTTCTCACACACACACCACGAGAAATTTCCCACAAGCACATGACAAAAGACAGATTAACCCACTCAAAACTAAAGGTTTCCAATTGGTAAAATTTTATTAAAATGCTCCCCAGTTGAAAGACCCTTTGGGAAAACTTCTACAGAAGGAAGCACCACTATAGCGAGGGAGCTCTGTTTGCCCGAGGGAAGCGGTTCATCAGCCTGTGGGCCCCGCACCGGGGACCCGGGGGCCGCGAGGTGACCCAGCGGACTGAGGTAGGCTCAGGATAGCCCCCGCCGGAGAGCAAGGGGGGTTGACGCGAAAACGAACTGGCCCCGGCCTCCTCAGGGGCCTCAACGGGAGGGAAAACTAGGCAGCTTTTCTCTAGAAGCTTCTCTGCTGCTTGTCTTATGACCGCCAGGACATACTTTTGTAATTAAATAAAGTCCACGTGAAGTGAGAAAAAGCCACGCATTCCTTGGGTCTTAGCTGCAGCAAATGAAGATTCCTATGCACCGAATCTGACTTTTCTGCTACCCTCACTCAAGATCTCTGAAACTCCATGCATGTGAAGAAGCCCTACCGCCTTCTGGCAAAGTCTGACATTCAATTCACCTGTGCGGGGGCCACCCTGGTCCCCAGGTGTGGGCAGAGTGAGTCAAGCACAGGAACCCCAGGCTAAAGGGGGCGGCCATCAGAGGATCCCAGAGCTGTGAGGGCTGTAACCAGAGCTGCCCCCAGCTGACAGCCACCACGATTCCCATTCATACACCAAGGGCTGTGTTGGAATTTGGGGGCCTCAAGGCTCCCTGGTTTAGCCTAAGTAGGGAGAAGACAACATGCAGGCAATGCCCAGCTCTAGGGCCCAAGGGCCCCACGCAGTGAACCCACTCCCTCGCGCTCACTTCCAGGGCTCAGTGACGCCTCGCACGCCCTCCTTGTTCAGAGCCACCCACCCGACTACCCCACCTTTGTCCTCCCCCCACTTTTCACCTGGGCAGCTTCCGAAGACCTGGCATGGTCTCTGCCCGCCGTATCCGCACACCCCAGGAAGCTTCCCAAACCCCTCAGCAGCTTCCACCCACAGGGGCGCCCACCCCAACGGCCAGAGGGCGAGCGCGGCTCCAGGTGCCCAAGTCCTGCCACAGCGGACACGTCCCGGGCGCGGGTCAGCAGGGCCAGGCTCCGGAGGCAAGGAATGGCCCAGGGCAGCGGGCCCCCGTCTGAAACGAGTGTCTTTATTGCTTGTACCGTACAAATGGGAGGAATGGGGAAGTCCAGTAGGGAGGATAGAGAATTGTCAAATAAATGACATACACACACAGAAAGGAAAAGACCCCCCACCCACCCAAACCAACCCTGCACCCCACCCTAGGATGTCTCTCTCTGAACTACCTAGTACAGGAGGTGGGGCAGGGAGATCAAAGCCACAACTAAATTCCACACACCCGGAGATGCTGGGGGCAAGGGGGGGGGGAGGGGGGCTGGGCAGCAAATGGACCCCAGGTGTGGCTCCCCCACCAGGCCAGCACCCCTCCCCTACGGGATGAAATGCTCAGGCCGGGGACAGGGCCCAAGCCCACACACACCACGCATTCAAGGCCGGGACACGCTTGCCCTCACACACACACACCCAACACGCAGGCACACACACCCCACCCCGTGTGCATCCTCATCCCAGAGGCAAGGGGCCATCCACAAACACAACAGCCTGAGGCCACACACACGTGCCCACAGCACTGACACACGTTCACCTTAAGGCTGCAAAACGTGGGGCCCAGGGAGGGGGGAGGGAGGAGAGGGCCCTGGGGCCTCCCCTGCTCAGAGGCCGCCCCCCCCCACTCCCATCCCCTCTTCGACCCCAGTCCACGGGGCCCAACACTGTCTCGGTGCGAGATGTGTAACAGCAGAGCTGGCGGCCCCCCGCCCCCATCCTTGGCAAGGGCTGGGGCCAGCCCCGGGCCCAGCAGGAGTGAAGGCCGACCGGAAGCAAGCCCTGGTAAGGCACAGGATGGGGCAGCAGGGAGGCCCATCCCCAAATGTTCCTCCTGCCTCATCCGCAGGGTCAGGAGAGCAGCTGGGGGTTGCTGAGGAAGGCAGGGCAAGGAGGCAGTGCCCATCACCTGGGCCCCCCTCATGCCCCACGGGGCAGATCACGCCCCATCTACACGAGGGATCCCCGAACCCCCACCCCTGCGGCTTCCAAAGGCCCCCTGCCTGTCCCTGGACATTATTGCTTTTCTGCCCCTGTGGGGGAGGGGCCGGGCCGGACCGCCCACGCCAGGCCGCCCTGAGCCCGAGCACCAGGGCACTGTCCGCCGGGCGTCGTGTCCCACGAGGTGTCCCACGAGAAGGCAGTGGCGCAGGGGCAGGCGCCCAGCCAGAGACCCGGGTGGGGCCTGCAGCTCCACGCGCCGCCGCCCCTCGCTGGGGCTTATGTTGATTAAAAACCGGAACCTCTCCAACCGCCCGAAGGCCTGGTCCTGGGGCGGGCAGTGGAGAGTCTCCCAAATCCAGGTCTGGGCACAAAGGTGAGGACAGGACAGGATCCTGGAGGCAGGGCTGCTGGGACCGCTGAGGTGAGTTTGGCAGAGGGCTGAAGAAAAAACTGGAAATGGGGTGAGCAGGTGAGGGATGGGGATGCAAACAAAAAAGGCAAAATATAAAGTCTAAGAACAAAGAGACAGGCCCCCGGGGCGGTGACGGCAGCCGAGCGGCGTCCGGCGGCGGCGGCGGCACTGCTCACTCGCGGATGCTGGCCGAGTAGGAGAACTGGGGGAAGTGGGTCCGCTGGTCCAGTTCGAGGGAGCCCAGGCTGTCATCTGTGGGGGGCGGGTGGAGGTGGATTGGGGAGAACGGGCCTACGGAGGGCCCAGCACCCCGAGTGCCCTCCCGGGAGTGGGCAAGGGGACCCGGGCTCAGGAAGGAATGCAGGGAGCATGAACCCCCAGCCGACGGGCCACCCGTGGGGACGGGGCAGGCGAGACTTAGAGACTCCTGCTCACAGAGGCCCACCCCCGACCAGAGCCTGGGCCCAAAGGCTGCTCCCTCCGCCAACTCCGCTCCCCCCCTGGCGCCACACTCTGGTCCAGCCCAGGCCTCGCCCTGTCCCCTACCCTGGCGGCCACTGCGGCCCCACCAATCCAGCCTCCAGCTGCCCAGGCGCACCCCTGCCCCCTCCTGCACCAAACCTTCCCCGGCTCCCCACACAGCAAGTCCCTGCTCCTCCCAGAGGCCCCCAAGATCCTCTTGCTCCGGCCCTGAACCCCTTTCTCCCCCCGACTACTCCGGCCTCTGCAACACTCCTACGCCTGGGCTCTATTCCCACATGCCATTCCTTCTGCTCAGCTGCCTGTCTCCTGCTCCAGGAAGCCACCCGCCCTGACTCACAGGCCAGGTCAGGCATTTCCTCTGGGTCTCCCCAGTCCCTGGGCTTCTACACCCTAGACCTAACCACTCTGGGCTGTCACCCCACCTGGCCTGAAGCTCCCTTAAGGCAGGGCCAAGGTTGCCTCAGTCACTGCTGTATCCCCAGCAATGGGTGAGTGAGAGCAAGAACTCTAACAGGTGCACAATCAATGCACCAGTCCAGCCCCAAAGACAGCTATGAATGTGCCATCCCGGCACTGACAGCTTCCCCTGTGCCTCCTGCCCAGGCCTCTCCCCGCTGAGCTCTGGAATGCGCTGTGGCCGACGGCTCCCAGTGACCTTCACTGGGTCCAAAGGTGCACCGCCCAAAGGCAAAAACCCCTGCAAGCAAACTGCAGGCAAACTGCCCAGACTCGGGGAGGGGGCCCATGAGCTTACTCTCCGGAACTGGGTCAAGGGCAGACCCCACCCCTCCACACCCAGCCAGGCCCCCCCCCCCCCAGGGAGGGCCAAACACTCACAGCGGTCCGGGGGCGTGATTGTGATGGACTGGGCGGTAAACTCATCATCAAAGTACCTTGTGTCAACCTCAGAGGTGACCTGAGGTTTGAAGGGTGGCAGAAGCTGCGGAGGAAAGGAGCCCAGACTCAGGACCCTGGGAACAGGGGAGCTGGCCAAGGTCACCCTTGAGCGACGGGGCTCCTGCAGGAGCAGGTGGGTGGCGGGGCTCACCTTCTTCTGTACCACGTCCTGCCAGCTGACGCTGAGGAAGAACCTGTGTTCCATGACCTCCCTGGCATCGCTGGGCCCCCCGCCGAGCCTGGGCAGAGAAGGCCATGAGCACCCGCCTCCCAGGCCAGCGGGTTCTGGGGAACAGGCTTTCAGCGCAGGCCCTGCACAACCTTTAGTGATTCTGGCCCAACCACAGACCACTTCGAAGAGGAGGAAACCGCGGCTCAGGGAGGGAGGGCTCACAGGCCCAGGGTCAGAGGCTAGGGATCTTGCAACCTGGACTCTGAGTCCAGAACACGAGCCGAGAGGGCAGGCTCAGCCACCCTCAGCCAGGCTCGGGGCTGCCCTGTCAGTGTTCCCAAAGAACAAGTGGGCAGAGCGCTAAGGACAAGCCCGGCCCCAAGAGAGTTCTCCCTAGGCGCCCGCGGCAGGGATGACTGCCAAGTGCTGGAGGGACAATACGCAGGCACGCGCCTGTGCACTCAGCCCCTCCAGGCCGAGGGGACAGCCGCAGCAGGAGGCACCGGGCTGGGCAGGACAGACTCCAGCCCTCACCTCTGCTTGGGGTCCTTCTTAAGCAGCCCAGCAAGCAGGGACTTGGCCTCGGGGCTGAGCGTGCGCGGGAAGCGGATCTCCTCCATGAGGATGAGCTCGAAGAGGCGCTCGTGGTCCTGGTTGTAGAAAGGCAGGCGGCCGCACATCATCTCGTACATGACCACGCCCAGCCCCCACCAGTCCACCGCGCGGCCGTAGTCGTTGTCCTCCAGCACCTGAGCGGGGAGGAGCAGTGAGGGGCCGGGCCCAGGCTGCCCCACCGCTGGGGCCACGGGGCTCACAGGGACCCAAGGAGGGCCATCCAAGGGGTCTGAGCTAGGGACACCACACAGGTCTGAGGGCCCCTCCTCCCTTGGCCTCGCGCGCCCGGGGACCTCCAGCCACAGGCACCTCGGGGGCGAGGTACTCAGGCGTCCCACAGAAGGTTTTCATGGTGGCCCCGTCACTAATGCCCTCTTTGCAGAGGCCGAAGTCAGTGATCTTGATGTGGCCATCTTTGTCCAGCATGAGGTTCTCCAGCTGTAGGAAAAGTCCATGTATCGGGGTCATATCCTCCCAAGGCTTTCCGCCAGCCACCCTCCTGCCCCCTGAACCCCACGTGCCCCAGCCATTCCCTGGGAGGGCTCTGGCCTGGGGTGATAGCTGTCATGCCAGGGCCTTCAGGTTGAGCTGGGCACACACCCCCAGCACAAGGTTAAGCCCTTGAGGCTCAGAGGGAGGCCAACCCCCAGGGCAGCTAGAAAAAAGCTGGGGTAGGAGAGATGGGAGACAGGCCCTGCCCACCTGCTGCCCCACTGTGGGCTGCAGCTTCCCAATCTGGCATGTGAGCAACACTAGCTTTCTTCTTCCTTTTTTTTTTTTTTAAAAGTAAGCTCTGGGCCCAATGTGGGGCTTGAACTCCCAACTCCGAGATGGGGAGTTGCATGCTCTGCCCACTGAGCCAGCCAGGCGCCCTTCTTCCTCTACTTTTAACTAAACACAAATGGGCAATTTGAATGGCCTTTGTGAAAGCTCCACCAGGTGAGACCATTCCCAGACCCCCAAAACCCCCCATGTGCCCCTTCCCTGTTACTAACCATCCCCCCAGCCGAGGAAAACCTCTGCTCCTCCGCTTTTCTTTACAGTTCCCCCACCTAAGGATGCCCCCTATAAAAACACAGCCGCATGCGGTCCGTCCCGGATTCCCTTCCACGTGAGCCTGGGCAGCGCATGCGCACGGCCACAGGGGTTCACTCAGTAAGGGCTGCACAGAGCCTGGCCGCAGGCCCTGCAGTGCATTCTGGCCGGGCTTGGACAGCGGGCCCTGGGGCTGCTTCCAGCCTGGGGCTAGTGTGGACAGTGTTCCGGGAGTGTGTGTGTGCCCAGGTTCTGAGGGGGACACAGGGCCCTGCCCCAGCCGTGCATAAACCTAGGGCGGAATGGCTGGCTCACAGGGCACACGGACAGTCAGCTCCAGTGGATTCTGCCCAACTATCCCCTACGGTGCTTGGACCGATATGACCACCCCCCTAACCCCGCCGACTCCCTGCACAGAGGTGTGTGTTCACCAGAGGCTCAGAAAGGCCCGCAGGGCGGCTTAGGCAGGAGGGTTGGCATCCTACAGCAAGGTGGACTCAGGAACACCCACAGGGTAGACCCTCCTGGGAGGGGGAGGTCCGGAGTTGAGGGCCTATATCCGGCCTCCCTGGTGTGAGCCCTGCGGCCCCGGGGCAAGGAGGCAAGCACACGCTCACCTTGATGTCACGGTACACCACGTCCCGCGAGTGCAAATACTCGAGGGCAGAGACGATCTCTGCGCCGTAGAAGCGAGCCCGCTCCTCTGTGAAGACACGCTCCCGGGACAGGTGGAAAAACAGCTGCGAGAGGAGGGAGGGGCAGGAGGTCAGACCTCAGCCCAGAGGAGCAAAACACAGGACCCTGCCCACTGGCCCCCAACACCCAGCCCAGTGACACAGTGACACCTACTCCAGGAACCTGCAAGTGACAGCGGGAAGAACCAAGTGAGAGGTGGTGAGCAGGGACGGACTCCCGTGAGGAAAACACAGAGCGAAGGACAGTCAGGAGGCGTCAAGGGGAGAGTAAGGAGGGACAGTGTGAGGGGACGGGGGAACGAGGGAGTGACAGCAAGAACGCACAGGAACACAAGTCACGAGCAAGTGACAATAAGCCGTGAGACCAATGGGAGAGATGAAGCCAACAATCTGGAGCCAGTGGGTGACACCTGTGTGCAGAGAGGAGGCTGTGAGGGATGAGGAGCAGGTGACAGCCTGAGCTGGCGCAGCCCAGTGACGAGCGGCGGACTCCTCCCAGCAGGAGAGCTTGGGGAGAGCGGACTCCTCCCAGCAGGAGAGCTTGGGGAGAGCAGAGCACCAACCGGCCTGCCCGCCCCCCTCCCCATACATTTTCCTTGCAGCCTCACAGGACACTCTCCCTAGCCCTCCACACCTCTCAGCGCCTGCGTGTGCATCCTACCCCTGACTCACTAGCTGGGTGAACTTGGGCAAGCCACTTAACCTCTCTGAGCCTCAGTCTCCTCGCCTGCAAAATGAAGGTGATGATGCCTGCCTCAAAGGGGGGAGGGGGGGACACGAGGTGACATCCAGCAAGGCCCCCGCCACCCCCTTCGTCTCACCCACAGTTCCCCTCTGCTCCCCTGACGCTTGGGAAGGAGACGTGAGAGCCCTGGCTGGGGAGCTGAGGCTCACCTCACCCCCGTTGGCATACTCCATCACGAAGCACAGGCGGTCGTGGGTCTGGAAGGCGTACTTCAGTGCCTGTGGGGCAGGAAGGCGGCCAAGATGGGAGGTGGGAAGAAGGCAAGCTCTCTGCTGATTCTGCAGGTACACCCCCCCACCCTGGCAGCCGGGGCTCAAACTTCAGCTTTGCCTTTTGGGGTACGTGAGTGAGCCTGTGGCCCTGAGAGCAGTGAAAGGGCTACCGGGCTGAAGGATGCTGTCTTCAGCCTTCAGCTAAGCTTCTGAGAGGCTCGGCCAGGGAGACATTCAGTTCTGAGCCACCAGAGCTGTTTTACCTTTCCTCTCCAGTCAGGCTTGTTGCACGCGCATGCGCACACACGTTTGCTGGCTGGGAGTTGGCAGTAGCTTGGGAGCCAACCCCAAAGACAGGATGCACAAGTGATCTGCTACAATAAACAGTTCTCAAACTATGCTCTAAGGAGCCCTACAGAAAGTTCCTCAGAGAACCCCTGAGTGACCCCTCTGCTCATGACAAGTCTACTATTCTCTGTCTTCCACATCAAAGTACCTCACAGAATTTCATTTGAACAAGTGCCATGGCTTAATACACCTGGACAGCCACTGAGCTAAGGAAACGACCCATCTCATAAGCCATCCTCCAGCTGGTCTATTTAACTGATGGCTGCTGGCCTTGATGGAGACTGTGGCCCAAAGAGGTGTCCCCTCAGACTAAACTGACAGGCAGCACAAGAATACATCTCCTTCTAGGATTACACTTAAAAACAGAAACAAAAAAAACGTTCCCACTTTGACCAGCAGGGCTAAACGCCTCTAACTCATGAAGAGTAGCCACGCTCTCCTGGAGCCATATTGTAATGTGGTATCATCAGTCAGCTGAAGCACTGCCATGAAGCCACCATCTGTGAAGAAGCTGCCACCCCCTGGGTTTGGTTCAGGCCATGTGGTCTGGCCCTGGCCACCTGGCCGACACGAAGTCCGTGCTTCATGGCGGCAGGACTGGGCTCTTATTCCTGAGGCCCGTCTGAAGCAGGCCTCTCATGGAGCACAGGGCACAGGGAGGCCAGGCCCTGCCTGAGAGGGAAGTACCACTCACGGTGAGGAACGGGTGCCTGGTGTTCTGGAGGACCCGGCTCTCGGTGACCGTGTGGGCAACTTCATCCTGCAGACAGAGGCTGGGTGAGGGGCTGGCGGGCAACACCACACCTGCCCCCGCCCCCACCTAAGGAATGGGGGAGTAATGCTTCAGGGAAATGCACTTCTATTCCTAGCCGATCCAGAGAGAAAGGCAGGAGTGGCACGGTACCATCTGCAAGCTGGAATGAAGTAACGGCTCCAGGGGTGGCCTGGGTGGCTCAGTGGGTTAAGCGACTGACACTTGGTTTCATGATCTCATGGGTTGTGAGATCAAGCCCTGTGTGGGGCTCTGTGCTCAGTGGGGAGTCTGCTTGCAGATTCTCTCCCTCTGCTCCTCCCTCCATTCGTGCTTTCTCTCTCTCAAATACATACATACATCTTTAAAAAAAGAAAGAATGAATCATCCCAGACAAGGCCAATCAGTGGCTCACTCTCAAAGCCACAAGGTGAGAAGTCGATGGGGACTTTATGACAGAGGGCTCGAGATGTCACCTGCGGAACCCACAGGCCAAGTTTAGCATCTCTAAGGAGGGAGAAGCAGACATTGTAAGACCCTGGAGCTGACCCCAGAGGCAGGGGGAATCACCACCGGAAGTGCTGTTGCTGAGACAAGGAAGGGATCTGATCAGGACCCTACGCTTGGGAACAGCGGTTCCCAGTGTGTGGTCCTCACACTGGCAGCATCATGTTGCCTAGGAACTTGGGTAAATGCAAATTCCCAGGCCCCTCCGAGACCCACCGAATCAGAAACTTGGGGGTGGGCCCAGCACGGGCTTCGCAGGCCCTCCAGGCCCCTCGAACACGGGCTCAAGTGTGGTATCTGAACACACAACAGGCCCCTAGAGAGCTGCGGAAAATCCCACACCACTTGCAGTAAGGGACACTGGCTCTTCCCAGGGCTGAGTCTGTCCCCAGGGGACACCTGCTGATAATGTCTGAAGACATTTTCGATGGTCACAACTTTGTGCTACTGGCCTCCGGGGGGGGGGGGGGGGGGGGAAGGCCAGGGTGCAGTTACTCATTGTACAGTGCACAGAGCGGCCCCATTGTGGAGAATGATGTGGCCCCAAAGGCCGACAGTGCTGAGGCTGAGGAAGCCTGCCTCGGACCAGTCACATAAGGGACTGTTAGCTTTGCTGGATGAGACTTAGTTCCATTATAGTCTTCAAAATCTTCAGCTGTTAAAGGTACATATCTAAGTATATATGGGTGTAGGGCGCCTGGGTGGCTCAGTTAAGCATCTGCCTTCGGCTCAGGACATGATCCTAGGATGCTGGGATCAAGCCCCACATCGGGCACCCTGCTCAGTGGGGAGTCTGCTTCTCCCTCTCCCTCTGCCCCTGCTTGTTTGCTCTCTCTTGCTCACTCTCTCAAATAAAATCTTAAAAAATATATATATATGGGTGAAATTATATGGTCTAGAACATGCCTTAAGATACTCCAGAATAAAGGGGAGGGCAGAGCTAATGAAACAAGATGGGCCAAATGTTGACAACCGTTGAAGCTCGATATTGGCTACATGGGAGTCCACTGTATTTATTTTTCTTTTAAATACTTTGTGTATGTCAGGAATTCTCCCTTTTAAAAACTTGAAAGGCAGGGGAAAAAAAAGGAAGAGAATTCCATTCTGGCCCAGCCTCCTATGGAGAGGCCCTGAGCCGAGCCCCCACTCCTAGGGCCTCCCCACCAGCCCATTCTGCTGCCGCAAGCGACCTGCTTTCAGGCCCTGATAGCGCCTGCTGGGTGAGGCCTAGTCGGAGGCTCCACCCTAGTCCCCTGGTCGCCCGGAGGGTGGGGTGGGGTGGGCTGGGGCGAGCGCAGTCCCACCATGACCACAGAGGCCGCTGCAGCCCCGGGCACGCCCACCTTGGCGATGATTACTTCCTTCCGCAGGATCTTCATGGCATAGTAGCGGCCGCTGGCCTTCTCCCGCACCAGAATCACTTTGCCAAAGGTGCCCTTGCCCAGGAGTTTAAGATAGTCGAAGTCATTCATGGTCTGCCGAGGAGGGGGAGAGAGTGGGGAAGTCAGTGCTTGGCACATGGCCCACGGGAGGACATTTTAACAAAGAGAAAGGAAAAATCGAAGGCCACTGTTGCCAAAACGCTTGGGCATGAGCAGGAAGGGAGGCACTGGGCGGCAACTGTTTGCTCTGAAGCGGCCTTCAGACTAGGGCTCTCCCAGGCAGGGGGCCCCGGGAGGCTGGGATATGGGGGTAGACAGCTCTTCACGAGCTCTGAGGATGCAGCTGCCCCTCACTCCAGGGGCAAAGGGCAGCCCTGGGGCACCTACACCCATACATCACCCATCCCACAGGGCAGTCGCAAAGGGTCCCGGCTGCTCCCCTGTGCGCTCTGTATGGAAACCGAGGGCGGCAGGGCCAGTGTTGGTGGGGAGAGGGGTGCTCCCAGACTGGCCGCCTGCCCCCCAGTACTTACCACCTTGGCCCGAGCCTTGCTAACTGCCACTTCCATCTCCTCAGCCGCAGAAGGGTCGCTGGGGGAGCCACATTTATAGTCCATGGGGTCCTCACCTGGGCCCCGCTGCTTGAGGCTGTTGGCGACCATCTGAATGGCCCGCATCCACTCCTCCCTTTGAGGGACAGGTCACAAGAGCCATGAGTCCCATGGACTCTGGGCGGGAAGGACGGAGCCCCACCCCCTCTAATGGGAGCAAATGACCCAACACCTTTGGGCATTCTGGCAAGATCTGTCCGACTGGGGGGAGCAGATGGGACAGGACTGACATTTTACAAATCCTCTGGCTGCAGTGGGTAAGAGAGAGCAAGAGTGGAATTAGGCCAGAGAGTCTATCTATGTCCTGGAGTGGCCTGACCTGAGGGATGCTTGAAGTGAGCAGCAATTAAATGACCAAAGAGGGGAGACCACCTTTATTCACAGCCCCTTGAAAATGAGCCACCACCCTGAGCCACAGCGCTCCTCGGGATTCCTCCAGAACAAATGACAAGCGTGATGTTTTGTAAAAGCAAACCAAGAGTAAAAGGAAGAATTCATCAGCCGAAGAAAGCTGAAGATCCCCGGAGGGAGCTGTCTGCCAGGAGAGCTCAGGGACAGAGGTTCCTAGTGGGGCAGAGACGTGAAGCAGAAGGTGGCAGACAGGGAAGCAGGTCCCAGCCAAAAGGAGCTTGGTTTAAGAATAAACTATTTCTGTCACTCACAATTTAGAACTTGCTCGGAAATAGCTTTCTTTTGATACTTGCAAACTGTTCTGTCTCTAGAAAGGGAAAACAGATCTAGTAGAAATACGTAAAAACAACCAGAGACCACAAAAAAAGTAGGGGGCTGAACGATACTCAATTTTCCATACCCCTCCCGTGTTTGACTCACCACACAATTTTAGGTGGCTCGACCCAGTGTATGCTGAACCCTCTTTGGATTCTGCTTAGAGCTATAAAACAGGCCCATGAACAGTGAGAAAAATAAAATGCACACCTAAGAACGAGAAAATTCTAAGAGCCCAAGTGGGCAACCTCCCAAATCGCAGCAATTCCGATCAGCCTCAGTGAGACCGGATGGTCAGCCACACTTCTTCCAGAATCACCCCCAGCCCCAGCACAGGTGAAACTGTGCTCTCTCCCGAGGCACAGAGGCCCCTGGCCAAGGTCACACAGGTAGCAAGTGGCCTGAGGAGCCGGGACCACCCTGGGGGCGGCTGCACTCAGCCCCCAGCTCCTCACGTCCCGAGGGTACTAGAGCTACTCTGTACAGCCCAGCGGTCCCATGCGCACATCTCCCCATGTTCTGACACTGCTGGGATCCGGGGGCACCTTACAGTCAGTGGCCTATCTCGATTGAATTGGGCATTGCTTTTGCTTGGTATTGGAAAATAATGGTGTGCCTCCAGGGGACAGCATCTTGCATTTCCTGAAGGGTGGCCACAGTGCTGAGCTCCCCGGGCGCCGAGGCGAGCATGTGTGAATGTGTGTGAGGAGTCCACGCACGGAACGCCCCTCAGCTCAGAGAAAGGAGGAAGATCTAGATGCGGGGGCGCCTGGGTGGCTCAGTCGGTGAAGCCTCTGCCTTCGGCTCAGGTCATGATCCCAGGGTCCTGGGATCGAGTCCCACATCAGGCTCCCTGCTCCGTGGGAAACCTGCTTCTCCCTCTCCCCCTGCGGCTCCCCACCCCCCACCAGCTTGTGCTCACTATCTCTGTCAAATAGATAAATAAAACCTTAAAAAAAAAAAAAAAAAAAGAGCTCTAGATGCAGACTTGGGAGGGCCTGAGACACCTTAAGAGAAAAAAAGAAGGTTCAGAACAGGGCAGAGTGTCCTCCTCCTGGAGTTAGAAGCAAGAGGAATGTACGCACAGGCACGTGCGCTCACCGCAGCACGGACCCCTCTGGAAGGGCGTGCATGACACAGGGCCCTGGCTGCCTCCAGGGACGGGAACTGGGAGTCAGGGGCAAGGAGGAGTCTAATTCCACTGTCGACCCCCATCACATACACTCCCAGAGCACTCCCCACCAACTTTTACGTTACAGATGGGGAAACCAAGGCACAGATTGAAAAAACCAAAACAAAACACAATTCAAGAAAAACACAGTGGGTGCTCAGTCTGGCAGCTGGAATCACAGAAGGCCCGTGACCGTCCAGAGCCAACGGGGAGGGCCGTTCTCGCTCAGCTCCATGGCTTGCTGAACCCAGACGCCCCAGCGCACAAGCAGCCTCGCTCCCAGGAGGTCGTGCTTCCTAAGACAGATGTGTGAATACCGCCCGCGTCAACATCAAGTGCTGGCACACTGGCCCTCCCTGGGCAGAGTCTGGGGGCCCCATAACCCTAACCCATGTGTGTCAGGCCCACGAGCGCAGGGATTTCGTCTTGTCTGTCCGTGGTACACACAGCACCTGAGCGGACACTCAGGAGGTGCCTGGGGAACGAGTGAGCAAGGAGGCCAAAGTTCAAGTGGCTCCAGACGTGGTGCACACAGAGGCCCAGTGCACACCCGGACACGTCACACCAAGGCCCGGCACACACGTAGGCTCAGGAGCACGGGCCTCCAGGCTGCCATTTCTCAACTTGTTTTAACCCATGACCTCTTTGGGAAAAATACAATATAAATCCTTATCCCCACATTCACATTTTATTTTTCAAAAACGGGGGATGGGTGGGCCGCATCCCATGATAGGCTTTACCAGATCATAATTGTCCTCTTAGAAATTTTTAAATGCTGACTTCAGGTAGAAAACCAAGGATTGAGAAAGAAAAAAAAAAAAAATCACCAGGGCACCTGGGTAGCTCAGTTGGTTAAGCATCTGACTCTTCAGCCTAGGTCTTGATCTCAGGGCTCTGAGTTCAAGCCCTGCATTGGGCTCCAAACTGGGCACAGAGCCTACTTAAAAAAAAAAAAAATCACCAATCTCCTAAGAGACGTTAAAAAGAACAAAATACGGGGCGCCTGGGTGGCTCAGTCGGTTGAGCGACTGCCTTCAGCTCAGGTCATGATCCCAGGGTCCTGGGATCGAGTCCCACATCGGGCTCCCTGCTCTGCGGGGAGCCTGCTTCTCCCTCTCCCAC